TCAGAAAGATAATTACCTGACAATATTTGAAAAACCTTGCAGGTTGTTTAATCAGACTTACAGCTGTTCTAAAGATATTTCCTCAGACTCTTCTAACCATCTGGAGGAAAAATGTTCAGGGTCAGTAAAAAAGTTTTTTTTCTTGCAATTGATTCCTTCCCAGGTAACTGACAGGCTGCCATCTTGGTTTGGCTTAGTCCCAATTGACAAACAGGTGGAAGTCTTTTTTTTTTACCGTGCAGGAGACAAAATACAGTATATAGACAAATTCTTTTTTCAACCAGGTGGTTAGAAGAGTCTTTGAGAAATACCTTTTGAACAGCACTTCCAGGAAATGATCTTTCTGAGAATTGGATAGCTACCACTGTGACTTGAATGTAGCTAATGCTAATTCATGAGTGACACAAACTACCCAGCACCAATCAACCAACAGTTAGGTGGAGCATTAAGCAGCTAAAAACCAACTCCTGAGGGAAGTATGTCTAAAGAGGCAACTGTTTTGCTAACAAGTTCACTATATCAACTTTAATGGTAATAATAACTTGTTCAGAACTAGTTTTCGCTGCCCCCAAGTGGCCAGAAAATCAGTTATTGCATGTTTAGAGTATTAAATGTAAAGGTATCCTTTCACTTTTCCTGCCTACCATGCCTCATTATATCATTTTCTGGAAAATTAACTCCATGACCCAACTTATTACCCAAGCTTCCCCATGGCAGCTGCCAAGGGTATAAAATCATTTCAATCAGTTTTGGTTCACTTATTTATTTACACATGTGCTTTCATCAGCATTTTTCCATAGATCTCTTTTAGCTTATGAGGAGCATAGGAGGAAAATGAAAAAAGGGAAATCCACTGCTACAGCACAACAAAAGTACTTCAATCAATAGACACATTTATTACACGCATACCTTTACAATAAACATACAGTATTTGTTGATACAGAAAATGCTGTGAATGAAGTGCTTTGTTTTGGCTTTAATAAACACAGACAGCTTGCCTCTCCATTACATTTTTTATGATTTCTATAAAGTAGCCTATTTACATTTTGTGATATGTCTCTTAAGTTTATACTGCAATTAGCCACCATGTGCTCTTGATGTCCTTGACTATGCATTTTGTAAAAACCTACTTACTGAAAGCACCTTTACTTCAGATATAATCGAGAGTATAAAAAAAAATCTTGGTCTTTTGTTGTACTTTCAAAATCAAAGTATGGTGACAGAAGTGGTAGGTGGTGTTACTCATTTACTCCATGCCAAAAGACATCTTGTGCGAGGGCACGTGCTGAATTACAGTTACACTCAGACATGCTGGATTCACTCTAAGGACCTTGTTGCTCCTGTCTCTATCACAAGTGTTGGCCTGTATGTGCAATGTTTGGACTGGCAGTGCATCAGTTTGTAAAGGTTAAAAAATACTTGGAATTCATACTAGATACATTTTGGCGGGTTTGGAGACAGACACTCATTATCAGGTACAGTTTTTCAAAAAGAAATAAATAAAAATGCTTCAAGCACACAATGATCAAGTTTAATCACATAACTGGCAACCGGATGCTGTGCAAGGCAAAAGCAAACAAATATCGTTTCACACCAAGACCCTCTGACTCATGGTGTGTAAGGTCTGGGTGGCACACAGTAGGGCTGAAAATCATGACGGGTGAGAAGTCATCAGACAGCGAGTGCTTATGTCGCCTCTTTCTTGTCCCTTTGGGCATTCCGGCGAATCTTCATCTCTGTCAGCTGGATGTAGCGGATGACATTGGTGTCTGGAAAACAAAGACAGGAAACGGCTGATTTATTTCCTGCTCAGGCAGGAAATAGAGCATTTATGTGCTCATAAATCTTCTTAAACTGAACTAGGTGGTACATGTGACATACTAAAATGGCAACAGGAAGTAGTTTTTGGAAATATTTTTTTAGGAACTATGAATAAACATTTTCCAGATACAATACCAGTTTATCCTGTGTGGTTTTGAAAGGCTCTTACAGGAACGACACTGCCAAATTATGTTGTTGATCAAGTGAAACGTTATTGTACATTTATATGTCAACGAGCACTCAATGAAAAGAGAGGAACCATTTGGAGATCTGAGCTGAAGAGGGCTGTGGGATATGATAGTATGATATGAACAGATATGTTTTCCAAAAATTGATGTTGATGAGTTAACAGCCTTTCATTGGTCCTTCAAAAAGCACAAAAGAGATCACAAACCTTATTTTTTAACTGGAACAAAAGCAGTGTGAGTGAGACAAGTAAAAAGCTTCGTTTTGCTGTGGTTCTCATGGCTATGGTTCTCAAAATGTGGCCTTGGGACCACTGCAAGTCCCTGAGACATTTCTATGAGTCCCCAGAAAATTAAAATTACATTAATCTCTCTCAGCAGATGTTACAGTCGAAGAAGAATCAATAAAACGTAAAGATTAAAGGTACTATTAGTGCTATATGGTACGAACATGTGGAAGATACATTCCTGCTGACTATTCCCCCACCATCTACAGGTTGCATCAACAAGTAAAGAAACTTAGCACCAACAAAGACAAAGAAGACTGCAAGCTAATAAACATGGATGTAAACAATGCAGGATTTAAACTATTTTAAAAGTCAGCATGGCAAATGTTTTACGAGGAAGGAAATGCATTCAACATTGACGTGATGGACACAATGTGTTTCGGTGAGTATCACTGAATGTAAACACTGTCATGGCTGCAACCAGCTCTAAAGAATGTTTGCATAATCTTTCCTGTTGACAGTCTGCCAGTCACTAGCCTGCTATTCCTGTTTTCAGTCATTACCTGAGTTCCATGCCCCCACCTGTGCACCTGTTTCTCTAATGAGCCCTGCCTCATATATATATATCTCCCCCTTTACCCTCAGGTCCCTGCCAGTTTGTCTACAGGTCTTTTTTAATTAAGACATTCTGACATTATGAAAAGCACAGGTGCATGCTGGTTCACTGTCACACCGTCATGGATTACTGGGATATTTGAATAGAACAAAGTCATCATTCATGTTATTTGTAACACCTGTTGGGACCTCTTGCCGGCCGCGTTACTCTTTGGCTTTGCCTTTCCAGACTGACCACCTGTCACCATCAACACAGTATAAATCTGTCTGTCTCTCTCAAAGGTGGTTAACTGTGCACCTACAAAGGTATGACACAAGGCTGCAAACTGACATTCATTTTCATTTTAGCTAGATTTTTCTTTGACTTAAGCCACTATAAGCAAAATCTTTTAAAATATTCTGATGGTGTACGTTTTCGCTGGAGATAATCCCAACTAAATCTAGTGCAGTATAGGAGTTCATCTCATCTCAGATATTTGGGAATCTACTGAACGGATACCACCATTAAATTCTATGTATTGTGAGTCGTAATTTACTTACTTTCCCTTAACTAACATCCATCACAAGTTACCAGAACCCAGAGTAATGCCTTCCACATGCTTTCTGAGTCTAATATCCAAACACACTCGTGGAAGATATATTCAGAGTCTATATAAAAGTAGCCATACAACACTGTATAAAATATTCCATTACAAGCCCTGCATTAAGTTAAAATAGAAATGTATTATCAGCTAAATGTGCTGAAAGTACTCACTATGCAGCAGAACGTTATTATATATTCTGTTACTGGATAATTATTATTGATGCATTCATCTTTAAGCAACATTGGATGTGGATGTACCTACAGAAAAGCAGAAAGTTCTTTACATTTGTGGGTCTGAAACCAGATTGTATTTTCTTTTT